AGGACCGGGCTGGGTTCCGCCAGCACCACGTGGCCGCAGTGGGGGTGGGGCAAAGGGGACGCCATGGGCGGGTGGGACAAGATGAGGCCGACGAAGGAGGAGAGTTGAGTGGGTTTGGCCGCCTTGTCCACGTGCGTCCGGAGGGAGGACCAGAGGCCGTCGGCGACGAGGGTCAGGGGGGCCATGGCCCGCCGGACCTCCTTCTCCTCCACCTCCTCCCCGTCTGCATTCCGGACGCGCCGGCCCGTGCCGATCTTGTACTCGACGCCGATGACCCGGGACGTGGGCGAGTCGGGCTCGGCGTAGAGAAGCCGGGAGACGATGCCGTTGACGACCGTTACGTTCGGTTCCGCCAATGCCCGGGCTCGCAACCGTTGGACAAACCGGCCGTTGTGGAAGCTCCTCCCTTGGGGATGGAGGGAAGTAGGGCCTTGATGGGCAGCGCTGGGAAAGGATGGGAAAGGCGGCATAGAGAGGTGCCCGCTAGGGGAAGAGGGGGGGTTAGGAGCAGGGGTGACTTTGGTTCCCTCGGGGAAGGGGGGCGTGACCGCCCTGCCCGCGCCATGCACGAGCTTGTCTCCCTCCTTTTCCGAGAAGCGTGGGGGCGAGAGGGAGAGGGTGGGACGGTCGGCGGCGGGAGAGGAGGGGGAGGGATCGATCACTCCGAAGAGCTCCTTCAAGGTGGCGGGATCGTAAGCTGGATACTTGAGAAGGATGCTCTGGACCTTTTCTCCGCCCTCCTTCTTGTGCTGGGGGGGCGTGAACACCACGTAGCCGTCCACGTGCACGGAGTCGATGCCTTCCTTCGCGCACTCGTCGAGGCCCAAACGTTCCAAAGCCCGGACCCCGCCAGGCTGCAGGAGCTCCCCAACGATCCGATCCTGCAAACTCATGTCCCGCTCAAACAGGAGGACTTTGAAGCCTCGCTCCGCCAGTCCCACGGCGGCAGCCGCGCCAGCAGTGCCTGCGCCAATAATGATGATGGATTGTCCGGCGGCTGGAGAGAGCCGGGGCGGAACACGCTGCATGCCGACGCCCCCCGACAAAAAAAGCCGATCCGCATTACTCGTCGCCACGTCCCCCTCCTCCCCCCCCCCACTGGGAAGGCTGCGGGAGGAGGGGGAAGAAGGGTCAGCTTTAATCTCGTTTAAGCGGGTTTTGGTGCTGGGCTCGTCAGGGGTTGTCCAAGCTGCACATTTACTTGCTCGGACGTACACGAGACAGAGGCAGGTGAGGGAAACAATCAAGACCATACCAAGCATAGGGACCTGAATTTTAGACAGGGCCAAAGTGAGCGGTTGAAAGGAGATTAGTCGGATAAGACACGCCGCTTTCGATTAGAAGGAAGGTACAACGCCCTATCAATGATCCAGTTGGCCTACCAAGACTTACGAGTATACCACCACAACGGGAGCCCAAAAATCAGTCGCGTACCTGAGGCGTATCCAACAAAGCAAAGGATGTACTCATGTGGGCGCTCGCTGGAGATACTTGCTCGTGGGCACGCCACAGAGCCGCCAAACTGCCCAACATTGCCAATCTAGCAAGCGACTCCTGACGCCTAAGCTGACTGTGTCGTACCCTGCGCACTGCCCAAACGTCTCCTTCCAAAAAGCGGAGACCAATCGCCTGAATCGTTGTTGTGTGTCAAAGATGTAAGGGACATCATCAGTGCCAGGACGGAGCGAAACGAAACAAGCCGGAACAAACTAGTGTTCTTTTCCCACCAGGCGAAAACCATGTGGACAGGGCCAATGCGGCGACCACGCCAGCCGCGTGGGGTAGTAAAAAGGGAGCCGAAAATGTGCAGTAGACACCGAGCAAGTTCCTTCCATGCCTTCATTAACGGTAGCAGTGGCCACACCCGAACATACAGACGCCCGCCGGCCTTCCTTGGGAAGCGGCATGGCGGAGTAAATTGTGCTGCGGAAAGAGAGTAGGGTGAGTCATCATCTCTGTCGGATCGAGAGAAGGCGGCTCGATCCGATCTGCTCACTCTCACCCCACGGTGATGTCGGATGCAGATGTTTTATCTATGTTGTACAGCCATGAGCGAAGGGCCACTGAATTTTAAAGTGAAAATACGATGCTATGGTAGGATATTGGACATGTTGGTGGCCGAGTGCGCATTAAACTTTGAGTGAGGCGCTGACTAACCCGCACCATCTATTGCGCGGTGATATTTCTCTTTTGCGGCTGTGAGAAATTTATCACGACGCGAGAAAAAACATGACTGTCATAGGTGGTAGATTAAATGATCAAAGCCAGTGAAGTACATGTCAAGTGTAAGCAACCAACCAAAGGATCCGATCCTAAAAGAGCCATACTCCACGGCCCATGCGGCGGCACGCTTTCCTCTACTTTCTATCACCTGACGTTTCTTTGCCAGGTACGGCACGTTGTCTTTCGTTGTGACTTGCAATGATTATAAGGCCACAATGACAGCAAATTTGACTTGGTGATTTGTAAAATGCACAGGATACATTACATCTGCGCTATGTGATCGATCGCCTCGACAGCTCGAATTCCCCTTCCCTTTCCATGTTCTCCTCATTCCCTTGGCCGTGATGTACAGTGTCCCCAAGGCTCACCAATGCGCGCTCTCTCACTTCACCACATGTTTAATCCACCGCAATGATTTCCTCCTCCTGCTTCAGGACACCATGACAGTTCGCCTCACCTCCTTCTTCATCCCTCTCCTCCTCCTCGCCTCCCACGCCTGCGTAGTGCTCAGAGCCCAAGATTTCAAGCCCCCCCCCAGAGAACCCCAACACCACGTGCTGCGTCATTGGATTGATGGCCAAGCACGCAAGCGACGACGCGTCGCAAGGAAGCGTGCCCAGCAAGGGCGCATATCGCCTGCCGATGGACGAGGAGGAGCGAGAGGAAGAGGAAGAGGAAGAGGAAGAGGCGGAGGAAGAAAAAGGAGAAGAAGAAGGTGCACCATAGATGGGGCGGAGAGGCGCGAGAGCAAGGGGGGCATCTCCCCGCATGGACGTGGCTTCCACGTCCCGGT